CAGAAACCCCAGATATGCATTTTTTAACCTCATCAACAAATGTGCTGAGAAAAACAACAAATAGTTATTAATACTGACAACTCATATAAAGATATTATTAATTAAAAAGTACATTTCATACGATGACAACTCTTCACAATTTAACAGGATATACGTATGTGCACTGTGATAATCTTTTTCATTGGACCACCAAACCTCTTTTAGTTTTCCACTAAGACGTCCGATCGGCGAGAATATGTCAGGTACACCTTCAACGGCATATGTATGGCCAACTCCTCCATCATCATATCGACGAGTAGCTATTTTGCGTGTTCGTACTTTCGGTGCAAAATAGTATGAAGTGAAGTGTGAAGTCTCTTGCATCAAGCTTCCCGCCACAATTGAGCCTTCCACTTTAGCTAGGTTTTTGGCTTTACCTTTAAGATGTTTCATGAAACGCTCGAACGGATACATCCACCTGTACTGAACGGGTCCACCGAGCTCTGCTTCGTGTGGGAGATGAACAGGAAGATGTTCCATAACATCAAAAAATGATGGTGGGAAGATCTTTTCCAAATTGCACAACAAGATTGGAATATTCAATGTCAGTTGTGATATTACATCAACTGATAATGTTCGTGTACTAAGATCCCGAAAAAAAGCACCAATGCCTCCAATAGCTTCATGGACATTTTTGGGCAAGAGTTCAGCAAATGCAAATGGAAATAATCGTTGCATAAACACATGGCAGTCATGGCTTTTTATCCCAGCAAACTTTACCCCCTTCTCAACAGATTTGGAAAGATTAGAGACATACCCATCAGGAAATTTAACGTCAGAAGAAACCCATCTGAACAATGCTGACTTTTGATCTGCACTCAACCGAAATATAGGAACTGGTGCTTTCCTGTTTCTCAGTAGATGCAACTCACTTCTGTTGCATAAATCAGGCAAGTCCAATCTTGACTTACCATTGTCTTTTGTTCTTCCCGCTACGTTCATAACTGTATGCATGATGTTATCAAAAAAGTTTTTTTTCAATGTGCATGACATCAAGATTGTGTCTGAGCAGATGATCTTTTCAATAAGGTAGTTGCCAAAAGATACTTTTCTTGTGCCAATTATGATGAACTCCATAACCTTCAGGCATATTTGCAGGAGTGTGCCAGTTTCCCCCACGCGTTACTGTTTCCTCTGCCCTCCAATGATCGATTTGCGCCTGTATATCAGCTCCTGTTAAATTAACGGGTGGAGGGACATGTACACTTTTGTTCTTTATAAATAACCTCTTGTTCCTCCGATATGGACGGTTATCCGGTAAAAACCTCCGGTGACAATCAAACCAACAAGTTTTTCTACCATGATTTAGCTGAAACACATCAGTTCGATGAAGCCAATAAGGACAAGATAGCCTCCCATGTGTAGTCCATCCAGATAGCATACCATAAGTGGGGAAATCGCTTATTGTCCACATAAGCACAGCCCGCATAGTAAAATTTTTCTTCGTAGAACAGTCATATGTAGGAACGCCAATATACCATAACTGATTCAACTCATGTATGAGTGGCTGCAGAAATACATCAAGAGCTCGCTTCGGATGATTTGGACCTGGAACCAAAATACATAGGAAAAGAAATTCCCTTTGCATGCACAAATCTAGAGGAAGGTTATAAAGAGTTAGGATTACTGGCCATAATGAATATTGTCTACCAGACATACCAAATGCACTAAAACCATCAGTGCACAGACCAAGATAGACATTCCGTTTGAACTTAGCAAAATCTGCGTATACCATATTGAAGTGTTTCCATGCCTTTGCATCTGATGGATGAACAACTTCTCCATCTACTTGTGTATGTTCCGCATGCCATCTCATTGATGCAGCTGTCCTTTCAGATTGATAAAGCCGTTTTAACCTATCAGTTATAGGGAGATACCACATACGTTGGTACGGTATCCTTTTACGCCCACCAGTTTGCGGCCTGTATCTTGGTTTTTGGCAAAATCGACATTCCTCCAACTGATTATCTTCTTTCCAAAAAATCATACAGTTGTCAACACATACATCTATCATCTCAGAAGGTAGACTAAGACTAAAAATCAACTTCTGAATTTCATAGTATGTTCCCGCTGCCAAGTTATCCTCCGATAGATACTCTTTCAGAAGATCAGCCCAATCATCCATGCAAACCTCAGCCAGGTTATGATATGTTTTAATTGACATCATCCTAGCTGCCAACGATAATTTAGACAAGCCTTCTCTACATCCTTCGTAGATTGGCTGATTAGCATTGTCTAACAAATTATAAAATCGTTTGGCATCTACATTAGGTTCCTCAACAGCATTACCAGTATGCGTTTCATGAAATGCATCAGTCACCATTTCGTGCATCCTATCATGATCTACACTTTGATCATATTGATACTGATTAGGCTGATGACCATAATTCGATTCATCAATATCAACATGAATTTGATAATTACTACTACTACCAGCATTCCCATGAGTATTACTGCCATATGCTTCTCCATGTAGATGCCAAACAAAATATTGCGGCATAAACCCTCTATTTAATAAATGCGTCCACACGGTTTTGGTTAGTGTATACCTCGTATTCTTGCATTTCAAACAAGGACAAAACATCTTTCCACTATCTTTCGTTCTCTCCATATTTGTAGCCTGAAACATAAATATTTCTAACCGTTCTTGAACTCTTCTGTCAACGTCCCATCTGAATCTTTACGCATATACATCCAACTTCTTAGCTCGTATATAGACATCTTGAAAATAAACTCAAAATAATATCTCTTTTTATTGATTAGACAATAAAGGAGGTGGTCTCTTGTGTCACGTCTAGCCACATGAATGGAGTAAATTAACCTTATAATATTATTACTTCTTTTTTTCAAAGTAATATAACTCCTAATTTGGGTTTCCAGCAATGGACAACCCAATATATAATGATTTACAACACTATACTAAAATTTAAGAGACCTACAATGGGTCTCCAAGATGAAGATGCTCTTATGTTTGAATGATGATGTGTTGTGATTGAATGAAGGAATGAAGATCTATTTATAGGAAAATTTCGGGCTTTACAACGCTTTTACGACGACTTTTTACGACGGTTTTACATTCAACAATAATATTACGACGAGTTTACGACGATTATGTGATAAAATCTTTCATCTACAATTGTTAGGTAAACATGTTTTAAATGTTTTTCACCTAACTTCTTTTTCAACGTAAAATCGTCGTAATATTTACATCGAAATGCAGTCGTCGTATATTCGTCGTAATTTTGCATCGAATTTACGACGATTTTACATTTACTAACAAATCTCTCGTTATCGATGTATATTCGTCGTAAATTGTACGTCGAGTTTACGACGATTTTGTTATACGACGGTGTTACGACGGTTTTTAAATTAGATGTAACATCGTCGTAAAATCGTTGTAAGTTTGCGACGATTGTAAAACCGTCGTTATGGACCGTTGGAAAACGATTGTTTTCTTGTAGTGAATAGCCTGAGTCTTTCATATCTGACCTGGAACATACCAATACACATACCCAAATTTAGCTGAATCTTTGTCTCATTAGTTTCTACCTCATCAAATCCATCCAGTCTCATTCACATTTAATCTAATCTTTGGGATTTTTATTTCAGATTAGAAGATAACAAAATTTATAGCAACAATAGTTTACTTTTTTCCTCCTAAAAAAATATAGAAGACATTAGAAAAAATGTGGAGCAAATGAATAACAAAGAAAAAATATTTTGTTTATTAAAAAAAAAACTTAATTTAGAGTTGCACTCAGATGTAAAGATAGCTTTTTTATTTTGAATTAATTTTACATTTAACTAAAAAACAAAAAAAAAAAGTGAGCAGCTGCCATATACTAATAGAAATAAACATTAATAAAATAGAAAAGAAAGAAAAATACCAGACAGCCATTTTAACACATAGTTAGTACTTAATCTTCACCAGATATCCAAAACATATTAACATACATAATATTTACTTCAAATGAAAGTGAAGTAGAAGAAGGGACATGGTTTGTTGGTTTATCTCATGTAACAAAGTAAACTCAATTCCAAAGGGTATAAAACGTAGCATAAACATATGCAATATAGTATTTCAATTCATGGCTGCTTGTAGCTTAATATATGGGAAACAAATAGCATATATTTGAGGAAAATAAAAATACAGAAGAGAACAATTCACTTTTTGTGAGAGCTTCGATATCAAAAGTTGGTCAGGAATCTAGGTCTATTTGAGAGTCGATACTCAATTCTCTTACGGGTAAAAAGGATAGTGGTGTTATTGAATTGGGGTCATAAACGCAGCTTTGAGATCATGAGTCTGCATTTTTATATGAAGTGTACAGCAAAAAACAAATAATTGTTTATGCATTTGTAAGATAGAGAATGTAAACCTAACAAATGGGTTATTGTCTATGCATTTGCTAACCTATCAATATACCGAGATAATCAAAAGAAAATAGTAAATTACTTAAACTATCAAATGGGTTATTGTCTACAATTTGGAATCAGCAGCCTTCATATAGTTGAAAGAAGATAAAAACAAAATGAAAGATGAAACTGAGAGTGAATAAGCTTAAAAGATTTGACTACAACAGATAGATGAAATGTAGAAGATGAAGTTTTGTTAAGATGAGAAGTTAAATACAAATATGACCTAATAAATACGAAGGAGCCGAAGAGGCAGGATGCCAATATCAATAAAAATGCATAGCTTTTTGCATTAATTTTTTTTATCAAATGTAATTGTAAAAATTAATTTTAAAGCTGATGTGTCAAAATAGTAGATGCTGATGTGTCAAGATTGTGAGACACAACTCAGCTTTTATATAATAGATTATGCTGTCTCCTTTTTCCTTTATCTACGTCGCCTTTTGTCTTGAAAACTAGATCTACTTTTTCTTTAATAAGCTGTCCTCCACTTCCACTTGCTTTTTCCTTTTTCTTTTTAGACTCAACCCATTTCTTCAATGATAATAATCGCCATTCCCTTTTTTTTTATTGGGCTCCCTTCTTCAAAAATGATGGCGATCTTCTTTTTTTTTAAATAGTGTCATCCTTCTTCTTTCCTTTACCTAAGTTGCCTCTTTCTTCAAGACCAGATCTCCTTTTTTTTTTAAATGTCGCCGACCCTTCCTCCCTTGTTCGCCGAGTCTCTCCTTCATCTTAATTAAGCTCACCTGCTTTCATTGAGGTCAAAGCAAATTATCCGACCTACTCATCGCTGCTCTTTAAAGTCGCCGGCGACCTCTTTGGAGCAGATCTGCCTTGTCCGTTTTTGAGATCTCTAATTACAGACCGACCTCCATTACATTCAGCTGCTGCGGTTCGACCTGCTATGAGGTAGATGCTTATAAATTATCTTTTCTCCTTTCCCTTTTGTATGTTCTTCCAAAACTTTGCTGAACTTGCTCCTATATCTGACCTCTCTATTATTTTTTTTTATCCGAGCTTGAATCCATCCGATCTGTCTTCTGTTTTTTTTTTTATAAAATTGATTTGCTCAATTTTCTAGACTGATCCGATCCCCTTATCGCTCTTCTTTGTTAAGCACCACTTTGAAATCAGCGTTTTTTTTTGTTGAGTTCCATTTCGCCAAAATTGATTTGTTCATACTTCCAGAACTCTCTTCCTCACCAGCTTATGGTCTCCATTTTTTTGTCGACCTTGTTTCTACTTACCCCGAACTACTGTCCAGTGAAATCTTCTGACGTTTCCTATAAATTTCATTCATCGATTCTCACAGATGTCTCCAAACTCGACCGATTCTACCAGTTCTTCCAGTTCGGATTCTTCAAGCTCTTCCAGCTCGCCTGATTCCTCGCCGAGCCAGAGTGGTCCTACTGAAAAACGAGTGGCTTCTCCTGCACCTGCTCCATCCGATCCGACTTCGTCTAGTTCCTCCAATTCTTCTCAATCCTCGCCGAGCCAGAAAGATCCGAAAGGAAAACGTGTAGCTACCTCGGGTTCACCGTCCTCGTCTAGTTCTTCCCCGACATCTGAGGAGGTCAGCCCATCCCAGCCTAATGACGAGATTGGAGTGGGCCAAGTCTCTGACGATCTTGACAAGGCGCTTAATGTCGAAGTGAGTCAGCTTAACGAGACAGAGAGCGAAGGAATGGTTCAGTTGGACGGAGTTGATCTTGAAGCTCGGCGAGAGATCGTCTTAGGTATTCTTGCGATTCGTCGTCAAATTGTTACTCCTACGGTCGAAGCCTCTTGTTCTAATATAAGAGCATTCTTAGAGCTTTAAAGGATGCTGGGGCTTCAAAGATCGGTGTCAAGAAACCGAAAGATTTCCAAAGACCATGGGATGCTCCCGAAGGTTACATATGCGTTTACGAGGACTATTTCCGAACTTGCGGACTTCGCTTTCCAATTCCCAGTCGATTGATTGGATATTGTAATCGTAGAGGAGCCGCCTTGTCTCAGTTGATGCCGGCCTCTGTTACTAATTTCGTTGGACTTCAGACCCTTGGGTCAGACATCAATTTTGAGGTCACAATTTCGGTATTCGAAGACTTGTGTCAAATGAAGAAAAACAAGAAACCATGGTACTTCTCTGCCTGTACGAGATCGGGCTTCAATCTGGTTTACTCATGCATATGCGACAGTCTTCAATTACCATTAGTCAGAACTGGCTGTTAAGGAACGTATCAATGATTTTCAGAGCACAATCTATTGCCATGGTCGGGTCGGAGAGTTGTGCGTATAGGCAAATACGACATGATTTATTAAGTTATAGAAGATCTGATACAAAAACATCTCCAACAACAATTCAGTTCATTTTCTTAATCAAAGTAATGCGAAAAGCATTTTGGAGTTTCATCCAAGAGATGATAGCCAACAAAATATATAAAGGAGGGACATAACAGATTTTATCTGTTAGCCTTTAAGACTTCTGAAAATAAAACATGTTTACTCTCCACTCCTTTATCAAAATTGTTTCAATTTCCTTTATTTGCGTTAACGGTTGTATCGAAAGTGTTTTTTATCTTGTATACTTTGTATAATATCAATGTATTTGATTTGCCGAAAAAAAAATCTTATTTGTATTAATTAATTTAGATGTTTAGAAAAGATATATGTCATACTATACATTGCACATTGAATTTGAAAAATTAAAACCTATAATATTGCATGTGCCAAATATTTACCCGAAATAGTATAACCAAAATATATTATATGGTTCATGATTTTTTTTATTTATAAATAATAATCCTTGATTTTAGAGTAAACCATGATTATATCACCAAAAAATATTATTATTTTTTTTTTCTGTTTAATCTTATTGTGGTATATCTACTTTACCACTAAAATAATATAATGACTTACAATAAAATTACTGGTCATGATTTTTTATGATAATTGTATTCATTTTTTACAATAAACCGAGTGTCTGTCATTAATTAATTAATTTAGATAACATATTAATATGATATGACTCTATGATTTAATAATTTATGGAGAAAGAAAAATTGAAATAAATATATGTCACACATTGGGTATAAATTATCTTATACAAATATTTTTAAATTAATCAACAGAATATATAAAATGATCGGCGATTAGTTGCAAACAAATAAAAACCTTATACATAATATCAAAATAAAAATACATATTAATTTTCTTATATATTCACGTAATTTAAAAATATTATATTATTTTTGCTAACTGAGCGTTATCACAACTATTTTTTATAACTATTATATAATTTACACTGAAACCAATTTTTTTTAATCTTATGATTTTTAAAAAATAAATTTCTATAAAAAGTTTAGATAACATGTTCGAAAACATGCCAGCTTCGGCCGCATAATCGGCGATAAGCGTTAGGCGGCTTCCAACCGCCGTGATTTGGACTTAATCGGTTCAATAATCGGTTTTTTTTTTTTTAAAAAAAAAACACTTTTCTGTATGTTTTTAAGTTTGAAATCGGATATTTCATTGCAGATCTATCATAAATATATGTTATTTTTAAAAAAACTAGCAAAAACATCAAAATCGTGAAAAAAGGTGAACAGCGGAGACTAAGGTTTACATGTTGCAGGAAAGAAGAAGAAGTCGGGGGCAAAATTATCATTTCGTCAATATTTAACATAAAAATGATAAAAAGGACACAAATGTGCCCTGCCAGACTCGAACCCACGTCTGCCACGTTTGATTTTTGTTTTCTTTACTCATATTTAATATATAATTGTATAAATAAATAAAAATATAAATAATTAATCTCCGATTAGTCTCCGGTTAATCTCTGATTTGTTAACTAAGCGCTAGGCGCATCTCGACCGCCCAACTAGCGCCTAGCAAAATTTTGAACATGGGTATTATGTAATGCACAGAACGAACTTGACGTTTTCCTTCTTCAAAGGTTTGCTTATTGCATTTTCGAAGGTAGAATTTCACCATTAGAATTATTTCACCTTACATAATTTATAGGAAACTATATTTTTTAACTATATAGATGAAAGACGAAAAAGAGAAGAATCACTCCAATCAAACTTTCTCTAATCCAATGCTCTAGCTATACAATAGGCTACTTTCAACCGCATTGGCCATTCCATGGTTTCAATTTTCTCTGTGGACCACAACAGAAGAAAACTTCGAAAGATGCTAGCAAGTTCTGAGGTAATCGATCTACAAAGCAATCAAATGATGATACTAATTCTACAAACAGATACACTGATACATGTAAACTTAAGAAATAAAGAGATTTGAGGGAAAAGCGGATTCTTTTCATTCACAAACGATTCTCTTTCAACACCGGTTTATGATAACACCAAAATATATTATATGTATATATATAATATAAGCCTTAATCATTATCACATCTAAATCTGAATCATATATTAAATATCAGACGGTTTAAGTTGGAGAACTTGGACAAATGTTAGTCAAATGCCGAGCTTTGCAACACCTTAGTCATAACATCAGCCAACTGCTCAGTTGTGCGCAGATGTTTTGTTGCGATTAATTGAGGCTGATCACACCATAGTAATCTATATAAAAATCATTAATTCGTTGATAAAGTTGCATAAAGTGGTATGCGTGTTCTCTATGATTCAATTCGTTTTCTTTTGCATAAAATGTTATATATGTATTATCCAATGTAAGAAGTTGTATACTGTTGTTAAGTTGTCCCCTCACAATGACATTACACGAGACATATCTTTTGATTATTTGGTATATTGATAAAATATGTATTTTTAGTGTTATATTTTGATCAGTTTGAATTTTTATTTCATGATTTAAGAAAAATACTATTACAATTTATAACTATTTGATAAAACAACAATCTTCTAATATTTTACGTAATGAGCTCGAAGAGCGTAATTAAACCTAGGTTAAAAATTGGATCCTTTTCCCAAGTAGTGCAATCTCATTTCAATAGTGTGAGGTTTTAATATTGATTTCAACCTCTAGTCTTAGCTCTTAACCTGAACTACTTAGATCAATTAACCTTGACACTTAGTTTGTTTGTTGTTTTCAAGCAAGACACAAGAAAATTTGGTAACCCAGTTCCCTTTCGGTACGTCTGGGGAGAGACGGTACTCTTAACGGTCCACTATAATCGATCAAGTGTTAACAATAATGAGTTTGTTCCTTCACCGTTTAAACTCACGTATCTCTCTTCTTTCCTTTGTTTCAGGTACCACAAAGAAGAAAGACCAGAAACTATTCACCTCAGTTTCAACCACAGATGCCTTAACCCAGAAGATGAAGACGAAAGCCTGAAAAACCCTTAACCGTGTATCTCTATTTCTCTTCTCCTTCTCTCGTTAATTATCTCTGCTCTTTCTCAAAGTCTGCAACTCCAAAAAAAGTTTATATATAACTTTGAGTAATCATGTGGGCCTTATACCCTAGCCCAACATCAGTTTCTCTTGCACACTCTTGTAAACACACGTATGGGCTTGAGCCCAAAAAAATAGAAGCTTTGACCAGATAATGTGGAGTTGACCATTATCTTCTCCTTTGGTTTTATCGACAAACTCCACAAATCTCCACCTTGTCGATTCAACCACCAAAAAACTACGACATCTGCCTGAGACGAAATCCTCCGTCGCCTCTCCGTCATGTCACCGTTCTAGTGGACCTTCTCCGGCGCTGCTCCTTCTCCGACTTCACCATCGTCCTTGAAGCTCGCCATCGTCACGATTCATGGCTTTAAACAAGCCGATGAATCTCACCACCGTTTCTGCAAATGAAGCACCACGATTCCAGCTTAACCGCCGTTTCGTCGCTACCGGCGTTCATCTCCACTGTCGTCTTTACCGACGATAGCATCTGCTGTCGCTGATTTAACCATCACCGACCCAACATCTCAACTTTTCACCGGAGCATGTCAAAAACCCAGAAATCGTCGACTATTTCTAGATCCTCTCATTTCCGATGATAGATTGACGTTAATTCATCCTCACCGCTGACTGATTCCGCTGCTATCTTAACCGATGCAGCTCAGCTCTACAATCCCAGGTAAATTCCGAAACTCCCATAGCCATCTCTTTACCAAGATGTTATTTCAGTTTCTGTTGCTGTGATTTGCAATTACTTCTGAAATCTTACTGTCTTCCTTTTCATCTGCAGCTGCTGAAGACACTTTTGATTTCAAAACTAAGCATCGTGAATTTCAGGTAAAACCCCAAATTCCTTTGACGCTTCCAAACTTTCAAATTTGACCACCTGAAAATTTTGCCATTTGAGAAGATCAACCCGTAATGAAACACTTCTTCTCTGTTACCCTGAAATGATGACTTTTACCAATCTCATCTCACATTTTTCAAACTTTACCATCTGAAAAAAACTTTGTCGATTTCTTATGTTACCAATACTGAAATTTTTTTTTTTTTTTTCTCAATATCTTCTGTCTTTGTGAGATGCTCAAATCGACAAGAGCAATCTCAAGACGCTGTTGGAAACAACTACGGAATTACATTGAGAAGCACCAGGAACTTCTCAAACGTGTTTCCAGGTAAGCACTTTGTGAGCATGTCTGCTGGATTAGCTGTAGTGTGAACCTTTAGGATCTTGACTGAACCTTCATCAACTATATCTCTGATAAAATGATATTTGGTATCAACATGCTTTGTTCTGTCATGGTGCACACTGTTCTTTGCTAAACATATAGCACTTTGTGAATCACAATTGAGTTTAAAACTGTCCTCTTTAAAACCCAATTCACCACACAATCCCTTAAGCCACAGACCTTCCTTAGTAGCCTCAGATAGAGACATATATTCTGCTTCCGTAGTAGATAAAGCAACTACTTGTTGTAGACATGATCTCCAACTGACCGTATTGCCACCAACTTTGAAAACATAGCCTGAAACTGACCTTCTCCTGTCTAAGTCTGTAGCATAATCTGAATCACAAAACCCTTCAATCTCAAATTTCTCTGATTTTGTGAAAGTAAGACATACTCCTGTAGCTCCTTTTAAAATACCTCAAAATCCACTTAACCGCAGCCCAATGAGATCTTCCTGGAATTCGCCATGAATCTGCTAACCAATCCAATGGCAAAGGCTAGATCAGGTCTTGAACCGATCATAGCATACATCAGACTCCCCACTGCACTTGCATAGGGAACTGAATCCATCAATCTACTCTCTGTTTTTACCTCCTGCTCTGTTAGACTCTTAAGCTTAAACTGCGAATTACTTGGAGTTACAACAGCCTTGCAATCCTCCATGTTAAAAGTTCTTAAAACCTGCTTAAGATATCTTTCCTGTGATAACTTGAGAGTACCTTTCTTTCTGTCCCTGATGATATCCATACCAAGAATTCTAGTCGCTGGTCCTAGATCCTTCATCTCGAACTTTTTACTTA